GAACAGCGTCACATTCATCATCAAAAAGAACATTTCAAGATCTATTCTGAAATCAGCGCTGTCAGTGATAGGTGAATATCCATACACCTACAGGGAAGACCAGTTAGTATAACTGTTATTCAAATTTACACCCAACTACAATGTCGAGGTGAAGAAGTTGAAGATTTTTACCAACGTCTGCAGTCTGAAATTCATCAGACATGTAATCAGGTTACGCTGATAATTACTGCTGATTGAAATGGGAAAGCTGGAGACAAAGAAGAAGGATCACTAACTGGGAAATCCGGCCTTGGTGAGAGAAATGATGCTGGATGTTGCAGGATAGAAGTTTGCAAAGCCAACGACTTAATCATTGCAAATCTTTTTTCAACTCCATAAATGGCGACTCTACACATGGACCTCGCCAGATGGAATACACAGGAATCAAAGCGACTACATCTGTGGAAAGAGACGATGGAAAAGCTCAACATCACCAGTCAGAACAAGGCCAGGGGCCAACTGTGGAACAGACCATCAATTGCTCATATGCTAGTTCAAGTTGAAACTGAAGAAAATTAGAACAAGTCCACGAGAGCCAAAGTACGACCTTGAGTATATCCCACCTGAATTTAGAGACCATCTCAAGAGTAGATTTGACCACTGAACGCTAATGACCAAAGACCAGAGAAGTTGTGGGACAACGTCAAGGACATCATACATGAAGAAAGCAAAAGGTTATTAAAGAGACAGGAAAGACAAAAATAGATGTCAGAAGAGACTCTGAAACTTGCTCTTGAACTTCGTGTCGCTAAAGTGAACAGAAGAAACGATGAAGTAAAAAAGCTGAACAGAAGATTTTGAAGGGCGGCTCGAGAAGACAAAGTAAAGTATTATAATGACATGTGCAAAGAGCTGGAGATAGAAAATCAAAAGGGAAGAACATGCTCGGCATTTCTCAAGGTGAAAGAACTGAAGAAGAAATTCAAGTCTCAAGTTGCAATATTGAAGGATTCTACAGGGAAAATATTGAATGACACAGGAAACATCCAAAGACAATGGAAGGAATACACAGAGTCACTGTACCAATAAGATCTGGTTGACCTTCAGCCATTTCAGGAGGCAGCATATGATCAAGAACTGATGGGACTGAAGGAAGAAGTCCAAGACGCACTGAAGGCATTGGCGAAAAACAAGGCTCGAGGAATTGACGGGATATCAATTGAGAAGTTTCAACAAGTAGATGCAGAGCTAGAAGTGCACACTCATCTATGCCAAGAAATTTGGAAGACAGCTCCCGGCCAACAGACTGGAAGAGATCCATATATGTGCCTTTTCCAAAGAAGGTGACCCAAAAAAATGTGGAAATATAGAACGATATCATTAATATCACACACAAGTAAAATTACGCTGAAGATAATTCAAAAATGGTTGCAACGGTACATTGACACGGACTGTCAGAAATTCAAGCTGGATGCAGAAGAGGACGTGGAAGAACGGATCCTGGCTGAAAGCAGAGAAAACCAGGAAGAAGTTTACCTGTGTTTTATTGACTATGCAAAAGCATTTGACTGTGTGAATCATTACAAATTATGGATAACATTGTGAAGAATAGGAATTCCAGAACACTTAATTGTGCTTGTGAGGAACCTGTACATAGATCAAGAGGCAGTCATTCCAACAGAACAAGGCGATATTGTGTGGTTTAAAACCAGGAACGTATGCGTCAGGGTTATATCCTTTCACCGTACTCATTCCATCTGCATGCTGAGCAAATAATCTGAGAAGCTGGACTACATGAAAAAGGATGCAGCATCAGAATTGGAGGAAGACTCATTAACAACCTGCAATATGCAGATGACATGATCTTGTTTGCTGAAAGCGAAGAGGACTTGAAGCACTTACTGATGAAGATCGAAGAACACAGCCTTCACTATGGATTACACCTCGACATAAAGAAAACAAAAATCCTCACAACTGGACCAATAAGCAACATCATGATAAACAGAGAAGATATTGAAGTTGTCAAGAATGTCATTTTACTTGGATCCACAATCACCACCCATGGAAGCAGCAGTCAGGAAATCAAATGACGTGTTGCACTGGGCAAATCTGCTGCAAAAGGCCTCTGAAGTGTTAAAAAGATGTCACTTTGAGGACTAAGGTGCGCCAAACTCAAGCCACTGTATTTTCAATCGTCTCCAATGCATGCAAAAGCTGGACAATGAATAAGGAAGACCAAGGAAGAACTGACGCCTTTGCATTATGGTGTTGGTGAAGAATATACCATGGACTTCCAGAAGAACGAAAGAATTTGTCTTGGAAGAAGTACAACCAGAGCGCTCCTTGGAAGCAAGGATGGCGAGACTTCATCTCACATACTTTGGACATGTTATCAGGAGGGACCAGTCCCTGGAGAAGGACATTATGCTTGGTAAAGTAGAGGGTCAGCGAAAAAGAGGAAGCCCCTCAACGAGACGGACTGACACAGTGGCTGCAACAATGGGCTCAAGCACAATAACAACTGTGAGGGTGGTGTGGGACTGGGCAGTGTTTTGCTCTGTTGTACATGGGGTTGCTATGAGTTGGAACCGACCTGCTGGCACCTAACAACAACAGCACCATATCTATATCATCTATGGAGTCTCTGGGTGGCACCAACAGTTAAACACTTGGCTGCTAACCGAAAGATTGGTGGTTCAAACCCATCCAGAGGCACCTCAGAAGAAAGGCTTGGTGATCTACTTCCAAAAAATCAGCCACTGAAATCCCTGTGGCGCACAGTTCTCTGACACACCTCGGGTTGCCATGAGTCAGAGCTGACTCAACAGCGATTGGTTTGTTTTTGTGGTTTATGTCTGTGAATATGTGTATATACATGGATATGAGTACATAGTTGTATACGTGTGTTATGTGTATACACAAACACACATTATATGAATGAATGAACACTGGCTCTGTGCCAACAGCTTTTACATCCGTGACCCGCTGCGGCCGGCAGTATTATCTCCATTTTACAGACAGAAAACACAAGGCTCACAGAAGTTCACCCACTGGATTCCAGAGCCTGCTCTCCTGAACACTCTGTTTTATTGTTACCGAAAGAAGTTTTGGCACAGGTTGTCATGTGGTTTGGGTGACGGGAAATGGGGGCTCCAACCCTGCCGCTTGAATGAGGTCTCTCAGGTAGAAGGAGAGGTGAGGGGGTCACTGAGGTGGATGAGGGGCTGGAGCGTGGGGAGGAAGGAGAGGAGGGGGCGTGAGGGGTCCAGGCAACAAAGGTAAGACAGCAGTGGTGGGGTGGTGACCAGTGTCAGCTGCACCAGTGGCCGGCACCAAAAACTCTCCACAAACGCACCCAATGCCCATGGGGGAGACAGTGGGTCACCGAGGCTGGAGTCCACCCAGTACCCGTGGCGGTGGGTGGACAGTGGGTCACCGAGGCTGGTATCCACCCAGTGCCTGTGGGGGGACAGTGGTTTGGAGAGAAGAACATGAAACAACAGCCTTGGAGAGACTGCAGGTGGAGGGTCCCTAGAGCAGGAGAAGCGGTGGTCCAGGCCGCCCACCCTCAGCGGTGCAGGAGGCCCCGGGTCCTCAATGGGAAAGTGACCGTGATAACATGTGATGTGTGAGCTAGAGAGGACTGAGCAGGGTGATTACGGGAGAAGGGAACCTCCTGCCCTGCGTCTGTTAGCCAAACGGAGGGCACAGCACATGGTTTGCGGGGGTGGTTCCTGTCTGCAAACTGATTTCCGTCGGCTGAACTGGATCTGCGATGACAGTCTGTCTCTGCTCATTTCAGCGTCCCCAGCACCGGTGAACGGTCGGCACACGGCTCATGTTTTATTAAAAATTGCTACGTTGAATTGCATTTCTGATCTAGTGAGCTGGCTTCAAATTAGGACCTGTTCAAAAGAGACAGAGTGCCTGGGTGGTGGCGACAGTTCACATGCTCGGCTGCTGACCAAAAGGATGGAGGTTCAAGTCTACCCAGAGGCACCTCGGAAGAACGGCCTGGTAATCTGCTTCTGAAAGGTCAACCAAAAACCCGTTGCTACTGTGTCAATTCCAACTCATGATGACCCATGAGCTTCACAGGGTTTTCAATGGCTGCGATCTTACAGAAGCAGATTGCCAGGCTTTTCTTCTGTGGTGCCACCGGGTGGACTTGAACCTCCAGCCTTCCTATTTGCATCACCCAGGGACCCTTCCAAAAGGTCACTGTCATTGCAGACACTACGGAGCACAGCTCTACTCCACACACATGGGGTCTCCAGGAGTCAGAACTGACTTGATGACAATTGGTTTGGGTTTTTTTGTTCGTTTCTTTCAAAAGAGAGAAAAGAACCGTACTGCCATGGACTGAATTGTGTTCCCAAAAATATCTGTCAACTTGGCTGGGTCATGATTCCCAGCATTGTGTGATTGTGTGCCATGTTATCATCTGAGGTGATTTCCCTATGTGTTGTAAATGCTATCCCTATGATGTAAGAAGAGGGATTAGCAGCGTTATACTGATGAGGTCTACAAGATTGGGTAGTGTCATAAGCCAATCTCTTCTGAGATATAAAAGAGAGAAGTGAGCAGAGAGACATGGGGACCTCACACCATCAAGAAAGCAGCGCCGGGAGCAGACCATGTCCTTTGGACCTAAGGTTCCTGCGCTGAGAAGCTCCCAGACCAAAGGAAGATTAATGACAAGGACCTTCCTCCAGAGCCAACAGAGAGAGAGCCTTCCCCTGGAGCTGATGCCCTGAATTTGGACTTGTAGCCTACCGGACTGTGAGAGAATACACTTCTCTTTGTTAAAGCCATCCACTCGTGGTATTTCTGTTAGAGCAGCACTAGATGACTAAGACGTGTACCTATTCAAATCTGATGGTACAAAGGGAAGAAAACAGACCCAGTGTTTCCCTCACCCTTTAAAAATGTCAGTGAAAGAGGAGAAAACTTCATTTCAGAGGAGAGAGGACGCGACTGATCAAAGCGTCTGAAGCCACGTGCTGTGCATTTTGCTGTGCTCACGGAAGGGACGGTGACCAGGCCACCCGAGAAGGTAAGTCGGCCTGTTCTCTCGGTACACGGAACACTGCCTGAGGCCACGGCGGCCCGGGCAGGTGAGCGGGCAGGAAGCGTACCTGGGGGCTGGAGGTCCCTGACTTGGGCTCGATGGCCAGCCCGAGGGTGATGCCACCTGCCAGGGCCTTCTTCAAGCTCTCCTTGACCTCGGTCAGCTCCAGCTCCAGGTTGACGCGCTCGGCCTCCTTCTGCTTGCAGTCCTCCTCCAGCTTCTTCAGCTTGTCCTCCAGGATCACCTGCGTCTTCCTGCCTGCAACACGAGACACAAGGCTCCAGGAGCTGGCCAAGACGCTGGTCTCCCGAAAGGACCTGTGAGTGTAGGCTGACCTCCCCTGAGCTGGGGCCTTCTACAGAACCAACTCAGCTGTTCTCGAAAGGGACAAAGCCCCTCTCCAGCCCCTTCCCTTCGCTGTGGCCACAAGAATATAGGCCAGGAAACGGGCGACTTTGATTCTTACAAACTCACAGCGTTCCTGGGTCTGGGCCTCCATGGCTCCTTGGAAACCGTAGACCATCAAGTATCTGATTCCCAAGGGGCACTGACCAGGGAAGTCCACGGTTCTTTATTTGTTTTACCTCTTACTAGTTACAACTCTAAGTCCTTAAAACCAAACCCGTTGCTGCCAAGAAGATTCTCACTCATAGTGACCCTACATGACAGAATAGAACTGCCCCATAGGGTTTCCAAGGAGTGGCTGGTGGATTCAAACTGTCAACCTTCGGGTTAGCAACCTGAGCTCTTAACCACTGCACCCCCAGGGCTCCGTCTAAGGTCTTTAGGTGGCGCAAATAGTTTGGGCTCAACTACTAACCTAAAGGTTTACAGTTTGAACCCACCAGTGGCACCGTGGAATAAAGGCCTGGTGATCTGCTTCTGTAATGATTACGGATAAGAAAGCCCTAGGGAGCCCTACTCTGTCACACGTGAGGTCGCCATGAGTCAGAATCGACTCTACAGCAACAGATATTTTGTTTTTTTACTTATACCGATAAAGAGCCCTGGTGGCACAATGGTTAAGCGTTTGGCTGCTAATCAAGAGGCTGGCGGTTCAAATCAACCAGTCAACCCTTGGAAACCCTGTGGACCTTATGAGTTGGAAGTGACTCGACCGCAGCGGGTGTTCTTTTTTTTATTTTTCCCATACAAAAATTTATACACACATTGTTATGTGACCCTAATTGCTCTCCCCATACTGTGACAGCACACTCCTCCTTTCC